GTATGTACTATATATGAGTTGCCAAGGGGAAGTTATCATTCCCGAAGGGCCTTTCGGCCTTTATTTATAATTGTCTACTTCTATTTACATTCCGCGATGCATACGACTGATATTACCTAAAAGACCCATCGCTGCTATCCGATGCGACCGATCTTTTTCCTAATTAGGATATGAACCCCCAAGCGGTCAGGGTCCATCCGGGTCCCACAGCGTTAGGCTTCGGACACACAATAACAGGAGAAACCGTCAATGTTACACACTAACCCTTCACGCGATGTAGTTAATCAATAATAAAATTGTTTATTTTTGTTTACTCTAAAATGAGTGCTGCAGAACGAAAACCTGGAACTGAATATTAAAGTTTTCACTGTGACGAACTTAGCTCTGAACAATTATAATAAAACAAAAAACACCGATTATCAATACTAATACGTAATATTATAATTGTTCAGGGGCTAATTTCGCCACAGTGAAAACTTAAATATTCAGTTCCAGGTTTTCACTCTGCAGCACTCAAATGGATATAATCCCTCACCCCGTCGTTCACACGGGGTGATCAGTTAACTTAAATTATTTATATGTAACTTTAAGTGTGATGGATATAATCCCTCACTTGGTGTAAGATTAACGGTTCCTTCTGTTACACACAATGCTACGCGTTACCTAGTATTTTTTTTTATTATATGCACTAACCCTCTAAATCATAGCCCAAACTTAAAGTAGGTCAAATTTATTACGCAATACACTCAAAAGCAAAAATTCTATTCATTATATTGCAATTCCGCGCAATAATAAAAATAATTTCTCATATGAGTGACGAAAAGGGAAAAACTGTAAATCATTTTATTCATTAAGTGAGATGATTTACAGGTTTTCCCTTTTCGTCACTCATATACTAAACCAAAAAAAAATTGATTTGATTACAAAGTTGAAATGTTAGAATAGCAATACTTTATATAAAAAAAACTGGTTTATTTTTGGCTATAAAAGATTGTAAAAAAAAAAAACCAATAACTGGTCTGTTAGGAAATGTTTGAGATACAGGCTTGGCCCGAGTATTAGATTGAGGTGCGAACAAACTAATTTTCGTATTTGATTTTAAAAACCAGTTCCGAACCAAATGTGTATGAAAGAAATACTGTAACATGGAACTTATTTAAATATACATATTTATCCAACCAATGAATAATTAATTTAGTATATGCGAAATAAGAATAAATAAACCCTTCCACCTTCCAGTAAAATCTAATACAATATAATCATTTCTTCCTCATTGAATCCCATCTCAAGTAGTTCTTGTTCAACAGTAACTAACATACCAGATGGACCACTAACGATAACTTTTCCTTGCATCAAATTATCACTTATTTCTGAATTTGCTAAATCTGGATCAATGCTAAGTGCTCTTGATTTTTTTGTTGACGCTTCCGATTCTGGGTAAGGTCCCATATCATTTATATGATTTTCATATTTTTGATTATCAAGTTGCGTGAGTGGTGCACTCGATTCTCTAGAAAGAGTGTGTACGCTTGAAGACTTGTATTGCAACAATGGAGAAATTTCATGTGACTGCATGAATGGTGGTTGAGGCATTAATGTTGGTGAAACGTCATGTGACCGCATGAATGGTGGTTGAGGCTTTAATGTTGGTGAATGACTCCAGCTATGTTCATTTTTTACAGCACGACGTATAGAATGATTATGAAGAATGTTTATCTGAGATTTATTAGGAGACTGGAGGAATATACCCTGCGTCATATTCATCCAATCTTGTATTATTTGTTTCTTAATTCTTCCTTGCAAGCCATCCCAATCTGGGGGAGGCTCTGAGAGACAGTATGTTATAGTTAATTGTCCTTGACTTGAAAGTACAAGATCTTCAAGCAATATACCATCGATAACATCTTCAATTTTACGGTTCCCAAATAATAAATGCATTCGTTTGTAATTAACATTTTCATTGATATCGTTTTTTTGTTTCATCGACCGTTCCAAATGATACTTGATTAACTGATATAATCGAGGTTAGAAATTATTATTAAATTACTTTAATACTTGATAAAAAATATGAACCTTAAATTACCTGTAACATCGGTGTTATTCCGGTACCACCTAAGAAAGTAAAAAAAAAAGGTTATCGACATTTTAATAAGAAACGTCATTGTATAACATTTATTTAATCAGTACCTGCAATCATATATAATTCATCCCAACAACCATCCGGACTGTCCGGATTTAATAAAGAAGATTTTTTCGTAGGCAACATCCCAGTAAGTCTCTGACGAGACGATAACGGCTCTGTTAGTGTAGGTGACAAATATGCCCTGCCTCTATCATAAGCATCAAATGGACCACGTGCTTGAATTTCACACCCTATTAACTGTTCATTCTAAAAAATTATAACTAGTGTTGATTTAAAAGGATCATGATTAAAAAAAGAAAGTGTGAATGTTATCGTACACATACCAAATGTTGAGAAAAGAGCCCCCTTGGATAAATTTTAACATAAATGGTAAATGATTTAGATAAGCTACCTTCCAAAGGAGTGTAGCTTCTAATCACAATTTGACCATTTACTCTAGATTGCACCTCAATATAATGTCCAGGTAAGAATTTTTCAGCGTAAACATCTTTTTCGACTTGATGTATTTTGGAAAATGTAAACTTCATCACAGGATATTCGATATTTGCATTAATCATTTTTTTGCTTGTAAGCCTATAACGGTGAAATTTAATACTTATTGTGTCTATTTCAACAGGAGGATTGTTTTCTAAATACTGATAAGAAGATTTTGGAGTTAAATGTCCTTTTTCATTCACTTTTTCATATACTCTTCCTATAACCATTGACATCATTTTCTGTATAGCAAGTCTACTATGAGCATGTTGTGCTAATGGTTCTCTTGAATAAAATTTTACATTAATGTTATCAATAAATTTGGCAACTGTCAGTCTTCTTCGAGGTTTTTGTTTTCCTTGAAGGTGATTTATATGTTTTGCAATCACAGATGTATAATTTTTATAATCTATATCTTTTGGAATTAATAAAGCTTCTGAAAAATCCATATCCTCAACAATTTTTTTATGTTTGTGTATGTTATAAAAATCTAAATGAAGGATTTATTATATTATATTATTTATTTATTTATTTCTAGATTAGTTAATAAAACGTATATTTAAATAGATATTTATATTAATTCTTACCATTTGTAATATCTGTCCCAATAACCTGTTATAATAAAACATTTAATTACGAGGTCGTAAAGTAATAATGATAATAATCAATTTACATGAAAAAAAATTTAAGATCAAAAAATTATTGTAATATTTACATGTAATAATATTTTACTTCCTCCTATTATATCAAGTATTAAATAAATTTAATATTAGTTATCAAAAATTTACGTGAAAAAGTATATGATTGAAATACCGACCTGGATGAGAATCAAAAAAACTGCGGATGTCTACTACAAGTCCATCACAAACTACCAAATATGCCTAAATGATAAAAAAAAATATTATTAAAACTTTGAAGGCCGTCAATAAATGACTATCCTCGAGCGTTATATAGTAAATTCCAATATAAAGTTCTCTGGCATTACTAAACCTAATACAAATAAAAATTATATTTCTTAAAATTTCTCTTAAAGTAATTGTGCTTAATTCTAACAAATGGTTTTTGTTTTAATATATGCGAAAAGTAATATTAATTGAAGAACACAAAGAGGACTTCAATAAATATAATTTTACTCGCATAGGTTTAGTATTATAAGTTAACATTCTGATTTGTGTATCAGTATCATTACTATCATAATGCATCAGAGGTAAGATAAAAATTGAAACCCCAATTTTTCCTTCCTTTTTTTTTGCAGCAATTATTAATAATTCGAAATAATTAAACCTACACCACGTTGAACTCGTTCATTAATTTCTTCCCAAGTAAATTCTGGTAATTTAACATAATCTTCATCACTAGTACGCATCAGATTTTTGTCGGTAACTGTCTCATATTTAATACAAAGGAATCGGCAAACCAATGCTTCAAAATGCCACCAAAGTTCACAGATTAAGAAACAATTAAGTATTATTGCTATCCAACATATATATGCAATTTTCCATACAAATGAGTCGCTATTAATATAATTTTGTTAGATCAGAAATGATAATATTATGGAAAGTTGTAATATATATAGTACTTACTAGCCATATGAAAGGCAATATGTATCGATTCCTAAAAATCAGATATAAAAACGATTAGTATAATAATAAATTTACAAACTATTGTATATAAACTATCTAATTTTATACAGATAATCACCAAGATATACATTAATCCTAGAATTTTTGTGGATGCAAAAAAAAAAAAATTAACCAAAATATATATATATATAAGTAAGAAAATTGAAAATAAATACAGTAAATATAAATGATTATAATAATGGTTTACCATGCTACTATTAATAACATTAAACCAAATATTTTATGTAGGCGTTTTGTAAATCTTGGATAACCCTAAAAAAATGATTCAATATATGATTAACCAATTTATTAAACAAAGTTTATGAATGTCAAATTCAGAAACACACCTTATTAACTGATACCACAGACGTTTGCCCCCACATAGCAAATACACCAAGGCCTACGAAATTTTAAACAATTAAATTAACCGAATTAATTAAATTAAATTGAAATTTAATCTATTACAAAGTACCTAATTCTACAAATGACAAAGTATATATTATCAATCCCGCACTAAATTTTGTCAATAGTTAATACTGTATATAAGTAACAGCAAATCAATATATTCAGATGAGATAATACCAAGCGTGTGGCGTTTGTGTTGCCACCACTGTAGAAATAGCAGCAGAACCAAATGCCGAAGCAGAAATACCGCCCACCAATTGTATAAACCGATGAGCTTTAAGATGTAGATTATGATGCTATAAATAATAAATTCGTGTTAACATTTCAATATCGATTTCGATATAATTTTCGGATTTGATCCAGTTTATGTGAGAAATTAAAATATAACATACCTTCCAGTATCGAACGATTAAGATTGAAATTGGGAATAAGACGCTAAAATTATAATAAATGTTTAGACAATTATTTAGTATCATAAACAAAATGTTTTGAGATTTCTTATTTATACAACTCCTAAAAGGAAACTTAATATTAAAATAAAGTTTAAATTACGAGGCAATACAATGTGATATATTGTTTGCTTCTAAAGTCTTTAACGTCATAGCCCTATATTCTATCTTTTTAATTGTTTAAACATCTTTTTTTTTTATATTTAGATTCTATATTGAAATTATTAAAATTTATGACTATTTCCTTTTGAGGAGTTTGTATTACCGGCACAAAAAGCATTTTTATTTACCACCACGTAAAGAACATTCCACAGCCGTGAACTAATCTAACCAGCCTCTGAAGGTTGCTTGAGTCCGCAGAGCTAATTTCACTATTGTAAAAGTTCACACGAAATAACATACGATTATTTTGGTGATAAGAGAAGGCGTCGCTGTTTGGATTATAAGCCAAAATATCTTTATCGATAAATATAATAAATATAATAATAAATTAATATTTTCAACATTATAAAATTCTCAACAATATAACATAATAAAAATAATATAAAAAATTAAATATCACACATTTCATATCACCATTAGTAATTGGTTTTTTTCCCGGTGGATTGAGAAGTCTTTTGAACTCTACGGTCACAGCTTTGCTACTAGACATAGAAAATTTTGGTACAAGAGTAGGATCTTGATTGGAATCACGTAAGGGAGGATGGTAACCACCTACGTCGGCATGATAATTTCCCAATGTGACATTTCCATTGGTAACCTTTCATAATATAACGTAAAAGTTTTAGATAATAATCATTCCTTTCATAATACAATTTGTATGTTTCAATGGGACTTACAATGCCAATGATAAATTCAGCACCTTTCATTCCATCATCATCTGGACCAAACCCCTATAAGATATATTGATAGAACAAACAGACACTATAAGAGAATATTAAAAAAAAAACTAGTTACTAAAAACGTATTTAAACTCACCATTCCAAACCAACCATTGCCATCAGAAGTTTGAATCTGAACTTTGAAATACACATATGTCATATCAACTCTACAACTCACAATATATTGACTCCAAGTGCTAATCTTGGTTGGATAATTACTATCATCACTATTGTTAAGTGTCGTTTGAGGTTGAACTGACCAAATATTTTGTGGGAAATTTGCACTACTATTAATGTTACGAATTATTATATCTCGAAGTGTCGTATTTCGTATGATAGTTCGTTCATCAGAAGTAAACATATTAGGTTTTTCAAACCAAAAATTATCAGAATCTCTAATATATGTATACTTTTGAAAAAAAAAATATATAAGTAAAAAGAATTTATCATAACCGTATAATCAAATATTCATAACCAAAGCATACGTATTACCTGCGTTACCATACTTGCATTCAAAACCATGCCAAAATTTGCACCACTTAAATGATCCTCACTCATCGCTCCAACCCATGCTTCTACGGTATCAACTCCTAAAATAAAAAAAAACGCATTATTTGTCAAATTAACATTTATTAGTAAAATTTATAAATGGATGGTTATATTCACCAATTGGATAGATTTTAGCCAAATTTTTTTGAATAATAGGATTTTTAGAAATGTCAGAAAACGATTGAGCTTTAGGAAATCCAAAATATTGTCGAATCACATTATATAAAGGAATACCTATGATAACATTGATAATAAACAAGATTGTGAAAAAAAATATATATAATATAAGAAATTCTGGCACAGATAAATGTCCTACCACGATCTCTACTCCTTATAATATCAAAAGCTGCTAGATCATATATGTGATTGTCAAAATTAACAAGTCTTTTAGTTGAATCTACCAAAAAAATATCCACTTCTTCTTGGCGTTGAAGAATCATAGATCGAAGTACTCTTTCTAAACCAAGTTGTTCTACAAGCGTTAGGTTTCTAATATTGTTCAAAGCTAAATCATAAAGTGTATCTCCGTATTCATCTTGGATGCGGTAAGAATCACTGTATATATTTAAGAATTTTTATTAGATATTTTTCAATTAAAAATAATATATCAATAATATATAAATATGTATATAATAATATCGACCTTAATTCGCTATGGCCGTATCGAAATGTGACAGTTGAAAAAAATGTATCAATTCCTGTTAATGCATATTTAATTTTAGTTAGAAAATATGGTATAAGTATAACAAGACCTTATCACAGTATTTCTAACCTGGCGTAAGATTTGCATTATAATTTTGATAAGCTGGTAAAGGACGACCAAGAATAGCACCAATATATTCTTCAGCAACAGCTTTTTGATAAAAAGCAGTAGTCCAACGTCTCTGAAATAAATGATTTGATTGTCAACTGATGGATTTATTAACGAAAGGTATCAAGAAAAAAAAAAAGATAGGAGGATATAATAAATGACTCACAGCTTCCTGAAAATATTGTTCATCAGTCCAAGAACTACCATGTTTTTTATACAATTCTTCACATAGTCGGTTATGTTCGCGCATCCAGATCGTTTGGATAGCAAAAGTAAATATAGTATATGCACGTTCAAAAGTACCCCAAATATATGAACCATCCGATGCATTTTTTGGAGGATATTCTTGACCGTTGATAATATACGTCTTCAACTTTCCTCTATTAGTAGATGCATCTCTAAGCCTATTTATTGCGTCTTGATCACTAATTCCATAAATTGTATTTAAGTCAAGAAATGGTGTGACGCCGTTTATTCCACTAAGAAGAGTATTTCGCGTTGCAGGATTAGTATCATTATTTCCTTCAGATCGATTAACCGGTAAAAAAGGCACATTAAGTTGATATGGAGATACAGTGGTATTTGGATTTGGATTATAAAGCGGATCATCTGCCGGTAAAAACATTGGGTATGTTGGATTCGTGTTCCTTGAAGATGTAATGTCAAACGAAATGTATTGACCAAAAAAAGTAGCCTGTAATATTATATAAATACAAAGATATTAAATTCAATGAAGCAAAATGATTATAAATTCATGTCTAACTTACGAAATGGCTGGTCCGCCTGAACGAACGGTAATTTGACAATGTATTAATATCGAAAAGTGAAGCATTATAACTGCACATAACATTTGATATGCATCTTGGCATAGGATATAGCCCAGAAGGTATACTATCGGTGCATTTAATAGTTGTCGGACCTCTCGGGTTTAAACCAAGAAAATCAGTGGGAGACGAAACAGGAGTAAAATTTTGACTAGATTTTTGAATTAAGAATTACTAATGGATAAACTTTAAATTAATAAGTGCTGCCAAGGAAAAATGTGACTTGGGATTTCAAGGTTATTTACAGATTCAGCCTTGAAAAACCTGACCAGTGACTGTTCAAATTGTCATTAGAGATGTTCAATTTTAGAAACAATTTCTAAAAGTGTACTATGCATGTACGTTTGTGTTTGAAGTTATTTCTATATTAGATGTCTTTATGTCTAGAATTAACGGAGCTTTGATGTCTCTGTCAGATTGAAACTGGTAAATAATAATATAATTTGAAAGCCCAAACTTCATTCCTAGGCAACACTCATATTATAACCAATGATTAATTACTGTACTTGTAATTTAATGAGTTAATGGCCCTCAAAAAAGGTTGGTGTGGAGTTCCAGCGATTGAATTTATAACATTGTTGTCACTACCGTTGATAAAACGAGCTTTTACGATAGCGCACCAAAGAATTGAGAGTAAAAAATAAGTTATAAACCGAAATTTCATTTGGTATCTGAAAATGTGTTTACAAGTTTTTTTTTTGAAGAGACCTAATCGTAATTGCGACTGTGGAAGAATAAAATAATAAATAATTATATGCTATCGCTATATATAGATAACGCGTATTATAATCGAAGGTTGGTTACCTTTAAATTATAAAAAGCAGCAATACGAAATGCAACAAATATTCAATCACCTTACAAAATTTGCTTTCAAGTAGTTTAATCGGCATCACTCAATGTGACAATTTAGCATATATTAGTTTTAGTATATAATTGTTCGTTAATCGTTACGCGATGTGACTCATCGATTGAAATAAGATTCCAAATATTTATATAATGTACTTGAAAATCTTTCTTCAAATACTATTTAATGAACTTCATGAATTTGGATCTATGCCTCTATAATAAGGGAGAAATTACCTTTTATAGAAATAATGTACTTCATGAATTTATATGGTTTTGCATTAAATCATATATCGTTAACGTTTAACGTGAGGCTAAACCTAGCTTTGCTTTTATATGATTAGCAAAGTACATGCGTGCGTATGTACACACCATAACACTGTATGAGCTGCCGTCAATAGATATCAAGCAGATTTATCTACTACGTAAGTCTGCTTAATTTCTATTGATGGCAGTCTGTATATGGGAACACCCATCCCCCTTTTGCTGTGAGTATCCCCATATATTGTATAAGGAAGGTCGAAAGGCTATAGTAATTATGGAAAATTGCGAATTGAAAATTGAAGAATGTCTACTAATATCCCAATACCTAAATATGGATAATAAATAGACTAGGAAAAATCACCATTTGAAAGAAAGTGTCAAACGGTGGTCTTCCTATTCCATTCACCATACTAACCCCCATATTAACTAGTTCTTCTGATTAGTTTTGTTTTTGTTGTAGTAAAAGTAATGTTTTTACAGTCTACTCTGATATAACGAATTCAAATATTTTGAACCTTTATAATTGTTTGGTAAAAAAAGTGCTATTGGTTCTCAAGAAAACATAGTAATTTTCTATGGCGAACTTTTGTTTTGCCTTCAGATTCTTCAGTTCATCGTAGAAAGAGTTGGCGGTATTTAAGAATTTATCCTTACTCTAATCCTTCCTGTTATACCTATCGAATAATTGATTGGTGACACAGCACCGAAAGTCAATTAATTGCAATTGTTATGCTGCGGTTTGCAAATGAGTGCTGCAAAGCTAAAACCTGCATTTGTTGATTTTCCGAAATCTAATTTTGCTTATCAGACCCCTGAAAAATATGATCAACGCATTATTAAACACACCAAAATATTAATGGTACGTATTATATGTATGAATATTGATAGTGTGCTTAATTTATCACGGATTAAATTTATCAGGGGTCTGATTGGGCCGTTTCTGTAAAGTGAAATTTCTGAAGATCAAAATATGCATGTTTTAGCTTTTCGGAACTCAATAAAAAATATAATAATGATACATGCGTATAAGTACATTTTCTGATCTTGATGCCAAAACTTATAGCTTAAAAAATAGCTTTATAATACATATTCCATAAATAAATAATGCAATCAAATAATTTGGCCTACAAAATTTACAGATAATACACCCCTTTTAGAAAACATGTATTTCAGTGTTTTAAGTGGCTTTTTTTTAAAATTGGTTCCAAAGTGTGCCAAAATTTAGAATAAGTGTTACATAGAAGCCTTTATTCATATCTGTAGATGATGATAATTATCAACAGGGTTGGCAATGGAACTCAATAGAGCCCAATGGAGATGCAAATAGAGCCAATGGAGCTCTTAATGGAGCCAATGAATACTATTTTTTTGAACTCTATTTGCATAGCCACTGAAATATTTCTAAAACAAATTTTTGGCCAAGTATATACTGTATATCACAACAACTACTTGTTGTAATATATATTAATATGGATCTGTATTTGAGCTTATTTTTGCTGATTAAAAATGTAACAGTAATTTTCAAGGCAAAAGACACCAAATATTAGTTGGTGTGCTATAGTTAATATATATAAATTGGAGCTATATGTTTTGTGCACATTTAAAAAAATTTATGTGCGCTGCAGAGCATCAAGACCTATATGTAATATGCGGCCCGCCCACAATTTTGATGCTGAATTTTCAACACTGACCAAGTTATACAAATTTAATGATTTTATTGTACTGTATTTAGTGATGGGCAAATCGAAATTTTTTAAAAATTCGCGGAATATGGTAAAGTTTTTTGATTGTTCATGAATTATAAAAGTAAATATAACGATAAAGATTATCACTAGAAATATAATTTCTTGTTAAAATAATATATTTTAAATAAGCATACATTTAGCACTCCCTTGTTTATAATCTGGGTCTGGTCCAAGTTTTTCAAAATGATGCCAAATTAGTTTATTAAACACCCATGATATAATAATGCTGTTTAAAGAATAACTTAATAATGGTTATATATTTATTATAACAAGGAATAGTAAATAAGACAAAAAAATTTAAATCAAGTATACGCATATATATCGATAAAAAGTTCTACGTAGAAATGCATGCGCATTAGTATATCAATTACTAATTAGAAATTGGCCCATAATCTCATTAAAAATCCCGCGCGTGGCCTATCACTATCTGTATTTGTGTATTTGGATGCGATTCTTATTTTTTTTTGAATTGCAATTAATTGAAATTAGTAATTTCAATAATATAATTACAATTAAAATACACCAATACTTGTTTACGATAACAATTTAATTGATTATAATTAATTTTTGGTACCTCCTCCTTACTATAAAAAGATCTGACTTTAAATATATTTCCCAGATGGGAATCGCTACGATGCAATTCCAGATAAGAATTTTCTAATTTTATCCCAAACTACAGAACTATACGAATTAAAATTAAAAAATTCCTTATTATAACCATAATTATTGTTGTAACTATACCATAAGCCCTAATTTTACCTGATACCGTTCATTTCATCTACAATCAATTCACCGACAGTACGATTCACCGACAAAGTAATTCTGGTCATTGTCGTTAGGGTCAGGTTTAGAATTAGAATTAAGTTTAGTGTAATTTATAAAAAAAAACTTGTTGGTGAAACGCACTATCAGTGAATCGTACTGCCAGTGGTCGGTAAATCGTATTGTGGATTGGTTGCCGGTGAAATGAACCGGATTCATTTCACGGGAGTAATTTGCAAATTCCCATCCAGATAGTTCGACTCTGAATCGGGACGATTCAATCCGTGCACGGCATTAATATTACCGTTATTAAAATTTGTATTGGTATTTTATTCTAATTTTATATAATTATAAAAACTTATACGTATTAGTACTCACTATAATTCTAACTATATAAAAATATAGATTAATTAAAAAAAACCTTAGTATTAATTGTATATAAAATTGTATACGTATAACTTCTTAATTGGAACTACATTATGCATAATTCGAAACATTCATATACTAATACGATATCTAATCAGAGTTAAATAATGCAACATTCACGTGCTTATAAATACAATAATGGCAAGATAAATTTATTGTATAAATCATGTGATAATAATGGACTATTATGATTAATAATCGTGCATTATGATACGTATTAACCAGATTATTAACATTCGAAAGTACTGGAATAAAAAGGTAAATAATTTTAAAAAGTAGAAATAAATTTTACTCGTTGTTTACTTTAATTAAATGCATGTGAAAAACCACTTTAGTAATTCTTGGGACAATATTCCTGATATTAGAAATGAATTAACCTAATAATGTATGATTATTAATCAATTTATTAATAGCTGCGCATTACTATGAATATCATTACGTGAATCTTCACTTTTTGCGGTTGCCTTGGCGAGTTTTTAGGAATACTATTTTGATTGTTTGCCCTTTAAAAAAAACTATAAATAATAATTTTATACCAGACTATATTTGTTAAAAACATTGTACGTACTCTAGGGTCAAATTTCGTTATTATTAAAACTGTAAGTAATTTGTTACTATTTTTATAATTCATTGCACTATTTTCAACAAAATTTGCAATTATAACTACTTGAAAGGTCCACAAATTTGATCGGGAATTTATATGATTTTTTTAAAAAGTTTAATACAGTCAACTCTGGATATAACGAACCTTTTATAACTAG